TTAATTACATGATTTCAATTATTTCACTTATCTAAATATTTTTTACAAAATTTTTAAATTATTTTTAAGAATAACTATACTAGACGAATTTCAACTAAGTTGTCCAGAAGACTTAATTGAAAGTCGTCTGGATAGAATACTTACGGGGGTTCGAAACGTAAAATATTTTTTGGGTTTTTTGTTTGTTCACAAGGGGCTGGTTGTAACTTCAATAGCCTTTTAGGTTACTCGCATTTGATTCACGTTTGGATTTACTTTTGCATTTGAAACCAACTTTTGAGTCATATTTGGCAAATTTCCCAAAGAATATTAACATTAAACACTCTTTTACAATTTTTGGTTTAATATTTAAAAAAAGGATAATTATTTTCAACTTTTTACAATTTTTTTAATGATTTTGTAAAAGGAAAATTAGTATTTAATAAGTTATTTGTACGTTTTTGGTAAAATATTTGTAAAAACGAAAATTATATTATTTTTTCAATAATATATATGAATAAAGATAGTTCTTTTTAATTTATGATCTTTTTTATTAGGATTTGAATAATAGAAACTTAACATTAAACACTCTTTTACAATTTTTGGTTTAAGATTTTAAAAAAGATAATTACTATCAAATATTTTTTACAATTATCTTTTTTTATGATTTTATAAAAAGAAAATTAGTACTGACACATGTCACAATCTTATATATATGACTGACATGTGTCGCAATCGTGTTAGTTAATAAATTTGAAAAACAAAGCTTTATATAAGAAGATTGATACAGTAAATATTATTTACTTAATATATTAAAAGTGGATTTTGTTCAAAATTCGAGCATTGGAGCTATAACTTGTTTATTTACTGTAAAAAACAAAGGACAGTAATTATAATTTATTGGGAGTAATCTTATTATATATAATTTGGTTCTTCAAAGTTATTAATTAACAAGATTGTGACACATAACAATTATATATTTATGATTCTGACATTTGTTAAACTTTTTGATAATTAATATATATATATATATATATATATATATTATAGATAATAAAAAATGAATTTTGTTAAAAAAATTAGAAATATTATGTAATCGTAATTTTCCGTTATTAAAAGCCTAACTAAAGGATATTTACAAAAAAAAATATTGATAGTAATTTTTCATTTAATATTGTGGCATGTATTCTCATGATTAAAATTATATATACTAAGATCATTAAAAAGAATTTTTAAGTTATTAATTTAAAAAATTGTATAAAATAAAAAGAAAAAAATGAAGTTAAAAGTTTATAATTGTAGTTTTCCTTTTTACAAATCCTAAACACAAAGATTTAAAATAAAAAAAGACTAATTTTAAAAATAATAATTTTAAATATTTTTTAAAAGTGAAATAAAATAAAAAGTGTTTAATTGTAATTTTCGTTTTTTTACAAATCCAAAAGAAAAAACTATTCGTAAAATAGATTATTATCAATTTATCTTTTCTAAAATCCTAAAAAATATTATTTGGTAATAATTTTGATATTATAACTTTATATATGTAATTTTATATCCTATTAACAAATATATATACGAAGAAAATGAAAATAATTTTACAGATAAAAAAATGTTTTCAAATTCTTAAGAGCAATTTTTCTAAGCCATTTTCTTTAAAAAATATCAAACAAATAAATATTTGCAAAAGATTTATTTGATAATCATTTTCCCTTTCAAGAATTCCGAATAAAAGGTATTTAAAAAAAAAACATAATTCATAGTAATTGTCCGTTTCTAAGATCTTGAATATAAGAGAATTGCTAAAGAATGTTTAATAGATTTTTTTAAAAATCCTAAACAAAAGTATTTGTAAAATAATTATCTCAAATATTTTTATGTTCTTTTCTTCTTAAACTGATGACGATTTTTAATATATATCTTAAGATAATAAATGAATTTTGAAGATATTAAATTATTTTTTAAGAATTTAAAGTAAAAAAAAAGAACTTATAAGTTTTGAATGTTGTTGTTTTTCTTTATACAAATCCTAAACAAATATTTAAAACCTTAAAAATGAATTTCAAAATATGAGTTTTAAATGTTGTTTAAAATTAAAAAAAAAATTAAATGTTTATTATATATTTGTTTTCTACAAATCCTAAGAAAACATATTCGTAAAATAATTAATTTTATCACCAATTTGTCTTTTCTAATACTTATATATTATAACACATGTTGCAGTATTAAAAAGAAAATTAGTATTAAATAATCTTTTACAATTATCTTTTGTTTAGGATTTTCAAAAATGGAAAATTACTAAAAGATAATAAATATAATAATAAATATAAAATTGTCATAAGTTACAATCATGTTAATTATCAATTTTGAAGAATCAAGCTCAATACATATTTTTAAAAATATATTTTGAAAAATCTTTTACAACATTTTTCACTTTGTAAGGATTTTTAAAAAGTAATATTTCTAAAAATACTATTAAATAATTTTAAAAATTATATTTTAATATAAATAAATTTTAAATTTACTTTTCCAAAAATTATTTTTATTATCTTATTATATATATATATACATATATTAAATCATTATATATTTTAACACATGTCACAATATTAAATCAAAAGAATTTCGAAGATATTAATTTAAAAATTATTTAAAATTAAAAGAGAAAAAGAAGCTAAAAGTTTTTAATTGAAGTTTGCCTTTTCACAAATCCTAAACACAAATATTTAAAATAAAATAAAAAAATAATATTTGTGAAATAATAATTTAAAATATTGTTTAAATGTAAATAAAATAAAAAGTGTTTAGTTGTAGTTTTCTTTTTAACAAATCCAAAACAACAAACTATTCGGAAAATAGATTATTATAAAAATTTTATTTCTAAAATCTTAAGTGAATATTATTTGATATTAATTTTCCTCTTAGAATTTTATATATGTAAAAATATCATATTTAGAAAATATCTATGAAGAAAATGAAAAAAAAAATTACATATAAAAATAATGTTTTATAATTTTTAATAGCATTTTTCTAATCCATTTCCTTTTTAAAAAAATCAAATGAATAGAGATTTGCAAAATAGTTTATTTGATACTAATTTTTGGTTTCCAAAATTTCGATAAAGATACTGGAAAAAACTTTTTTTTATAGTAATTGTCTGTTTCTAAAATCTTGACGTAAGAGAATTTTTAAAGAATCATAAACAAAATGTATTTGTCAAATAATTATTTCAAATATTTTTATGTTCTTTTCTTCTTAAACTGATGATGATTTTTAATATATATCTTAAGATACCAAATGAATTTTGAAGATATTAATTCTAAAAAAAAAATTAAAGTAAGAAAAAAGAACTTATAAGTTTTGAATTGTAGTTTTTCTTTATACAAATCCTAACATAATATTTAAAATAGTAAAAACACGAATTTTAAAAATATGAATTTTAAATGATGTTTAAAATTTAAAACGTAAAGGTGTTTAATTATAGATTTCCTTTCTACAAATCCTAAGAAAAAATATTCGTAAAATAATTTATTTATTACCAATTGGTCTTTTCTAAAATTCTAAAGAAAATATTATTTGATAGTAATTACAAATTAAAAACTGAAAAACTAAAGAATTTATTTGAAATACAATGACTTGAATACCATTTTAATACTACATAAAAAAATTCATAACATCTGAATTTAGGATTTAGTGTGTAGAGTTTAATATTTAATGAATGAAACTAAATTCATAAAATTATATAAAAAATTCCAAATGATATATATGATATTAAATATCATATACTTAAAATGAAATTAGAAATTTCTTAATTATCTCTAAGATCGTCTTCTTCAATTCTATTATTTTTTTTTAACTTTATTACAATATATAATAAAATAATTTATTTATTTATTTTAAGATTTATCATCACAAATTAAAAAATGACAATTGTATGATATTCTTATTGACTTGATTGACCTTATTTAACTTTCAATTTTTTGTATTTCACTATATTTATTAATTAGAAATGTATTTGGTTTAAATTTTGTTAGGTATGAGTATTTTCTCTAACCTTAGGTACAAAGTTAAAAACAGTATAGTTATGTGACATGATTATTAAAATATAAATATTTACCAATATTTATGAGGGTAAACAAATTCTAAATTCTGAAATAAATCTCACACAACATATACGAAAATAATCATAAAATTTAAAATAATTTATTATTTTATGTCTTTTGAAAAATTAAAACGTCAAATAAAATAAGTGGTTATTAAAATATAAATACTAATCAGAATTTTTATTGAAAAACGAATTATTAATTTTATAAATAAATCTCACATAACATATACAAAAAATCATAAAACTATAAAACAAATTATTATTTTATATTTTATAAATATTAAAACATCAAATAAAACACGTGCGACACAGATGATTGCACGGATCCATATCTAGTTTTATCTACTCTATTAAAATAGAGTCACTATTTGTATCTACTACAAAGAAGTCATATAGGACCATTTCATTTATTACTTAGTATGACATATTAAATTATTTAGGTTAATCAATCAAATATATATCATATATGCTGAAAATAATAGATTTACATTCTATTTTAAGTTATAACAGAATCGGTTGAGAGAAAATCTAACAAAATCTTACTAAAAGTTTAAATATTTTATTATTAAATAACATAATAATGAATTTCGTAATTAATAATATCATACTATTATACATTAATATTAATTAAAATTTCACTATAATAACAAAAAAAAAGAATCTTATACTATTTTATAAATTTCAAAGTAAAAAATTAAAGAATATTATATATTAATAATGTTGAATAAAAACCTACACCAGTTAGATTATAAATTTACACAATATATAACATAAAAATATAAATTATATATTTCAAATATTTATATTAATATTAAATAAATTTTCTAAAATGAAAAATATACCCGCACGAACGTGCAAGTAAAAACTCTAGTAATAATTTACTAACAAGTCACTTGATTTCCATAGTTTGCTATTTTGTCTTAGGCTCACAGCAGCAAAAATCTACATGGTGTCAGCCTCTGCTTTGTTCTTCTTCTAGACTCAGCTCAATCTACCAGACACAAAACAAAACCCTAAATTGCGGCTGTATCTTAGTCTTCTTTACTGCTCTAATTTCTCAGTGAAATGCTTGCCAACTATATGTGAGCGATCACTTAGGGTCTACTTATTTCCTCTCTCCCGAAGTTCCTTAAGCAGAGATCGAGAGGTTTGATGGTCATGGCGAGGTCGAATCATCATAACAGACTCCTTCGAGAACGGGTCTGTTTTCTCTTCCTTGAATCTGTAATTCTGGGATGGGGTTTGTCTTAGATCCTGGTGCAATCGCTGTATCTAAGATCGATTAAAGGAAGCTTTTGTATTATAATTTACTCTTTAATATGCCTTTTAATTTAGGGTTTTAGTTCCACGATCTGTTCTCGAAGTTGTTGTGTGGACCAATCTTTGATGTAGACACTTGTTTTGGACCCTTTCTTGAGAATCTTGATTATTTTTATCTTATGCTAAAAGCCTGTTTTGGCTGATTTATTCCTGATTTAGGTTCACAATATAAGTAATTAATAATTGTGGTGAATAATGCTCATGTTTATGTTTCTCAGGGGAAGCGGTGGGTGGGATGTTTCAAAGCGTTGTCTTGTTTCGGTTCAAAGAAAGGAGAGAGACGAATTGTGCCAGCAGCTTCACGAATCCCTGAAGGGAATAATGTTGCAAATGCTCAATCAAATCAACCTCAAACAACGGGAGTTACAGCAATGCTTGCTCCACCTTCCTCTCCAGCTTCTTTCTCACATTCTCCTGCTCCTTCCATAGCTCAGTCCCCGAACTGCCTCCTTTCCTCATCTGCTAACTCTCCTGGTGGTCCTTCCTCCGCGATGTTCGCAACAGGGCCTTATGCTCATGAGACACAGTTGGTTTCCCCACCTGTTTTCTCTACTTTTACCACGGAGCCTTCTACTGCGCCTTTGACACCTCCTCCTGAGTTAGCCCATCTCACCACTCCTTCTTCACCTGATGTACCGTACGCGCGGTTCCTGACAGGAGATGGTGGTCGATCCTCGTCTTTTCCCGAACGTGAGTTCTCACCGCATTGGGATCCTTTGGCTTCTCCACGAACAGTCAAATGTTCAAGGAGCGACTCTAGTTATGCACAAACACCTGAGACAAACACTACTCCAAGTCCAAAGGCCTCTCAAGGCTCAAATTTTTTCTGCCCTGCAACGTTTGCTCGTTACTATCTCGACCATGATGCTCCGTTTTCTCATGCTGGTGGAAGACTAAGCGTTTCCAAGGATACAGATATTTACCCAACTAACGGAAATGGTCAGCGCTTTTCCAAGCAAGATATGGAAGAACTTGAAGCGTACAGAGCTTCCTTTGGTTTCAGCTCTGATGATGTCATCTCGACAAGCCAATATGTGGAGATAACCCATGTTCAGGATGACTCATTGAGACCTCGTAGTACCTTGGATGCGTCAAAAGATGAAGGAATTAACTTGTATGGCGCAGGGGAAGCTAGCTTGAACCTGCCAAAAAGTGGCAACTTACAAGATATGCACAATGGTAATATATCACACACTTGTTGAGTTTAGAAACTTACGTTTTAAGGCATATGGTGGTGATATTTTCCTTGTAATGGGAATCTCTTGATGCTAAATTTGTTTGTTATATGAACGCAGATCATATGCGGAGATCAAGCACGCCGGGTAATGGGGGTCAAGCAAAGACAAGCAGAAAGTACAAGACGGGTCTGTGCAGTTCGGATGCAGAAATTGATTACAGAAGAAGTGGACGAAGCTTGGGGGAAGGAAAAGGAGATTTTGCTTGGCATGACTAAGAAACCCTTCTTGCTGGTCTGTAGAGTTTAGTTTTGCTTTCGTGTTTTTTGGTTATGTTCTGTACGTCTGTGTTTGTTTTAATTAAATTTTTGTATATTATACATAAAGTAAACGTGTAATGCCTACAAGTTATTTTTTGTATTACTGAAGACTGTTTTGTTTTTGGGTATGTTATCTGACTAATTATGAATCAAGTTTCGGTTCGGAATTGTATTCAGCAGTTGTGACATGATGACAACGGAATTGTTCAAAGTCCATAAGGTTCAGAACGGTACGAGTTTTCTCTTTATTTTTAGTTGTAAACAAGTTTCGTTTATTGATAATCAAATTATATTCTACAATCTCTTTGATTATGTTATTATCAAATAGAGCAATATAAAAGAGTTGTTCTGTTTCAGTGACTCCTATTGGAGTGAATCATTTTCATTTTGTTTGCAAGATTTTACTAATTTTCGTGTTTTAATTTATAACAGTTAAAAAAAAAAGGAAGTTTGAAAACCGCTATAAGTCACACTCGATTTAGTCACCATCGGTCGATGTCATCATCTGACCATCGTTCGACCACCATCGCAGAGTTTGGTATTTTCAACTTTCATTCATACTTTTTTTTTTTTTTTTGGTAAAATTTCATTCATACTTATACTTATGATTTTGTTTTTCCCACCAAACTACAACGTAATAACATTGAAGATAATGTTGTTTAAGATTGGAAGAGTCTTACCGATTTTATTAAAATTTTATAGAGTCAGGAAGATAATTATGATTGTTCTAGATTTCTACTTATTATCTAACCACTCTATAACAACATTTTAAATTTTTAGATTGCAAAGAATTCTAGAGATACTAAAGTGGATCATCCTATCATTAGATCACACTTGTTCAGAAAGTTTGAATGAACTGAAGCTAACCTCCAACCTAATATTGACTTATTTGCTTGTTTTGCGGTTTGTCATATATTAGATCGGATTCTTCCTGCAAGTCTAAAAGGTAAAAGTCTATGTGTTTTATTGTTCCCTTCCTTCTCTCTCTTCGGCATCTAGAAATAAAAATTGAAATGACTTTCCTTCTCTCTCTTCGGCATCTAGAAATAAAAATTGAAATGACTTCTTGAAAGATGCAGAGAGGTAGGTAAATTGCCTATGACTCAATTATTCTAATTCAGAAAGGAATGATTGTGGAAACCAAAATTCACACCATCGATTTCCGTAAATTAAAGAAAACTAGGAAACCTAACTTTCCATGAGGTCCTGGATTCTCTGTGAGAACCAACGACAAGTGACTAAATAAAGACAAAAAATATGAAGATAAATCAAAACGAATTTATAGGAAAAGTAGATATTATTCTGAATATCGTAAAAGCGTTGCGATCATTACAAAAGATTATAAAAGCTTCATCCGCAAAAGCTGTCAAAGAGTAACCTAGTTTTAGCAACCAAAAACCTTAAACCTAGTTGAGTCGCAGCTCGATAACAAAAGACAAAAAATATATAAAAAATGTTTTGATTGATTTCGGACTGAACCTTATAAATGGTTGCCTACGTACCTGTCGAAGATCAAACCGAACGTAGTTCAACTAAAAGAATTGAACAAGAGATCGAACTGCCTGGACGGGTTCGACTAATAATCGAGTGCCAGTCATAGAAACTGAATTTGTAGAGAATAAAGCCTAAGGTTTCTAAGGACGAGTCTATCTTTTTGCGACAATCTTCTTTATCTTCATGATTATCTTGGAAAATTGACATATATCTTCTTTTTCGTTTATCTGCTGCGGAAATCAAGTAAACCGTCATTGTAGTTTGGGCTCATTCTTATCTAAAATCGCAATTGGGCTTTTTCTGCATTTTAGACCTCTTTAGATTTTTTTCTTACTTAAACGTTTTACGATTTCTTTCGGAGAAATCGCTTTTCGCGTGATTAAAAGATATTTCTTCCGCAAAGTAGTAAAACCAATCGTATATTCCAGATATTTTATGGTGTTAAATTGATCGTTATCGTTTTATAGGAATGATTCGAATCCGTACAAGAAAACAAGTCTTCAATAACTTTATCGTAAACTATCAACGGTAACTCCAATCAAGATGAAATAAGGTGTTGACATGATGCTATGAATTAGACAAGAAGAGAAGACAAGGAATTGTAGACGTTCAGATGGTTGCAAGTGACTTGGTCCGTACAAGACTTGGGATGCAAGTCTGTCCGTACAAGAAGTAAGTCTCAAGCTACCCAACCGACCTAGACTACCTGACAAGACACAGAAAGGAGCTACTTGACTTGCCTGGATTGAGTTATGAAGAGGAGAAGACCGTTGGGGATAATGGAGACAAGAATCACACAAGTGGACCATTAAAATACATTATAATTCACATCGGTGCCTTAGTCTCCCTATTATTCACAAGCATGCATCTTAGTTTACTATTATTCTGTTTGTCCTTGTCTTCCTATTATTTCCTTTAAATAACTATTGTAAACACTCAAAAATAATCAAGGAAATTAGTTCCTCAATACTCTCTCTTGGTCACAAAATCTCTCTATCCCTCTCCTCACACTCTCTCTTGTTCTTGTTCTTGTTCAAATTCTCTCTTAGTCTCATAATACAAACTCTAGATCTCTTCATTTTATCATGGTATCAGAGCAACAAAGCTCCTGAACCTACTCTTTACTTCCGCAAACGTCTTATACTCTGTTTTTACTTCAAGTTTATCGCAGGCTCTCTTCAAGATCTGTCGAGTGTATAGCGGAGAACATGAAGCCTGTGACCATTCTTGTGAAACTTAAGGGGATTAACTATCTCTTATGGTCCATATTGGTGAAACCTTCCCTTGGAAGAAGAGGTCTTTGGAGCCATGTATCTTCTGAAGAAGCTCCAAAGAAATTCACCCAAGTAGAAGATGAAAAAGAGTTGATGGTGGCTGATGAAGATAAATGGGGTCAGGAGGACCTCATGGTGCTCTTAGTCATTCAAAACTTCCTAGATTCAGCCATCCTGGAAGCTTATTCCTACTGTGAAAGCTCCAAGGAATTATGGAAAACTCTTTACAAAGTCTATGGAAACATCTCCAATCTGACTCGAGTTTTTGAAGTTAAAAGAGCCATCAATGCTATCAGTCAGTCTGAAATGGAGTTTCAAGTTCACTTTGGAAAGTTCAGATTCCTATGGGCAGAGCTGGAAATGATAAGACCTCACACGGTTGACCCCTCTACCTTAAGTGCTAGGCGAGAAGAAGATAAAGTCTTTGGTTATTTCTTACACTTAACCCAACCTACAATGAATTTATCAAACACATTTTGAGGGCTGAAAAACTACGAACAGTTGATGAGGTCTGTGCTCAAATTGAGAAGGAAGAAGGCTCACTGGGTCTATTTGGAAGCAAAGGAGAGCCGGTTATGATTCATCAAGCCGAGGGACCAGTAGCTAACAAAGGTGTCTACAAGCAAGATGATAGGAAGAACCTGGTGTGTGACTACTGAAAAACAAGGATCATATGAAGGATAAGTGTTGGATTATCCACCCACACTTGAAGCCAAACAAATTCAAAGAGCCACGGAACCAATACCAGGATGCTAAAGCTCATTTCTCAAACGATGGGGTAGAACCAACAACACCAGGATGCACCTCAATGTGTTCAAATGCATAGGAATTGCCAGGGCAGTGAACCCGGCTACTCCACGGCAAGGTCCAATCCATATGAGAATGTCAAGAGGTCCGACCTTGAGGTTCTTATCAAAGCTTTGAAGGAGAACTCTGGTATATCTAATTCCCTTGGTACATCTCTTAATGCTTCATACATTGCTGGTATTGCTATGAGTGGGATAAATGCTACTAAGCCCCTTCTTATAGATTCATGTGCCTCTCATCATATGATTAGAGTACCTATAAAAGCAACTTTAGAAAATGTTTTGGTAGGAAATGGTGATATGGTACTTATAAAAGGTGTTGGTGATTTGAAATTGTTTGAAAAAGTGTCTAAAGCGTTTTATATGCCAACCTTTGCCTCTAACCTTGTGTCTGTTAAAGAAAGTAACCACTGATCTCAATTTTCATGCTATTTTCACTCCTAATGAGATTTACTTTCAGGATATTAAGTCAAGTAGGTTGCTGGGCAAAGGTGGAACCAAGGGAGATCTATACTTGCTTGAGGACAGTAAGCTTGCTTCTGATTTATCATATGCTTTAAACTCTGTTTCTGAATTCCCTAAAGATGTAATGTGGCATGCTAGATTAGGACATCGACATCCTGGAACCTTGAACATCATGTTACCTAGTATCTATTTTAAAAGTGATTGTGAGGCTTGTATTTTAGGAAAAAATTGCAAGTCTGTATTCCATAAATCAATGACCATCTATGAAAATTGCTTTTACTTAGTACATTCTGATGTATGGACAGCACCATGTGAATCTAGAGAACAACATAAGTATTTTGTGACTTATAGATGAAAAATCTAAGTACACATGGATAACTTTCTGAAATCAAAAGATAGGGTACTAGAAGATTTTAAAAAATTTCAGAGCTATATTACTAACCATTTCCATGCCAATATCAAGATCTTTAGGTCAGACAATGTACACTAGCCTAGCATTCAAGCACAACCTCAATGCACAAGGCATCATTCATCAAACAATTTGTCCTTATACACCACAGCAAAATGGTGTGGCTGAAAGGAAGAATAGACACCTAATGGAGGTGGCGAGGAGTATGACGTTTTACATGAATGTGCCTAAACGCCCATGGAGTGATGCAGTTGTAACCGCAGCATACTTAAGAAACTGGATTCCCACAAAAGTGATCAGTGATATATCACCATATGAGGTACTCAACAAAACCACACCATCTACAGATCATTTACGTGTCTTTGGTTGTGTGTGTTTTGTATTGACTCCAGTAGAAATGAGAAACAAGTTGAAAGCCAAGAGCACAAAGGCCATGTTTATTGGCTACTCTCTTTTGCAAAAGGCCTATAAATGCTATGCACCAGACAGCAGAAGAGTCCTAATCTCTACGGATGTAAAGTTTATGGAATTAAGAGGATACTATAATGAGCAGAGAAGGAGTGAACTCAAAGACATCTCCCAATCTACTTTGGATAGGGCCAACAACCTAAAAAGGCTCATGGAAAACCTTGGCATCAACTTGTCTAAGGAATCTGAGGAATCAAGGGAAGGACCGGCCCATAGAGAAGAAGAACC